GTTTGGTGTGGATTTTATTTGTTATACCACAGATCAGGCTATAGTTTAAAGCAAAACTAATGGAAAAACTTTTTTTTTCATAGATTTGTGGACAGGGTAAGGCAGGGTTATAACCCCTGCCAGATCTGTGTCACTTTTTGTCCATTTGAAAAACAGGAAGTGAGAGGAAATCTTGCAGAAGTGAGGGAACCCAGGGGTGTCACAACAACTAGTGTCCCCATTGAAAGATTTCCCCTCTATTATTCCTGTTCTGGCATCAACCCAAAATTTGGTATTTTCTTTTACTTTCAATGACAATGTAAACAGGACGAATCAAGAGGGTGGATCTTCCTAACGGCACAGACAGCAATAATACAACTTGACAAGAGTTCTAATTCCTCTCCACTCTATCCAAAACTTAAAAAAGGTTTGCCTGTAGTTATACTTTAAGCTGATTTTTTTATGTTTTAAAGTTAATCAGTTTAGTAATTATTCTTCCATTAATCCCCTCTCTTCTTTAATAGGTGTTTTAAAAAGTCAGCAAAAAAAAATAAAATTTTTATATCAAACTAATTTTCTGACAAATAATGGCCAGTTGAGAAAAATATTGAATTCTGATAACTGTGCGCGATTAATACAATGTTATGATAATAATAATAACTAGTTATATTTTCTCTATATTTGCATGCAGAATATGCTACCCAAAAAAAGTGACAGCGACAGGGGTTGGGACATACCAAACACTGCCAGGGGGTGATTGAGCCGTCACAAATCCAGTTCTTTGAACATATGAATAAAAGGTGACCATTATAATCACCCTTTCCAACAAATTTCACTGTCACCTTTGCTGTGTGTAGATTTGCTTTGCATGTAAAGGTTGAGAAAATATAAACAAAGCAACGTGAAATTAAATGTAAAAAATATTACATTTTTCTCTTAGAATACAAAATTTTTCACAATTTTTCGGAAGGATACTTTACAAAAGGTAGGAACATTTTATTTCTATGCAAAAAAGGCCATCAAGACATCTAGGCATTGACAATTTTAACCTAAAAGCACACAAGGTTTATGAATTATAGTGTTCCAGAAAAGGAGAAGGCGGCTGTTTAAGCACTGCCTTTATATATATTTTTGCAATATGAAGGTTTTAGTATAGTTTGTTGGAAAGGTGTGAAATCTTACCATCTGTAGTGTTAACCATCATCCGCCTTGGATAGCAGGTGTAAGATATCAGGCAATACCTGATGGGTGGGTGTTGCCTTAAGCAACCTGGTTTATTGTACCACACCTTTTCACATAGACATTCTAACAATATTGAATTTTAAGGGATTATTTGTGAAAGATTAGGTACTTTAAGAGCTAAACCGATGATGGATAACTAATCATTTAGACATTTTTTGTGTGAAGTTTCCCAACTCCTTTAGTTAGTTAGCCCAAAAATCTCAATTCAGGGCCACCAGACAAAACTATATTATTTGTACTGGCCAGGGGCAAATGCCAGTCTTCACCTGCTTCCACGTAATGGCTTTACTGTTGATAACTGGCAAAAGGAGATGGGCCACTCAAGCAAAATGCCAAATTGTCAGACAAGAGCATATTCCATAAACAGACATAAGGTCAGGCAGACTGTGCTCAGACCCACAGTCTTATCACTGGCAAAGTTTCGCAGAAGACATCGAACAGATGTACTACAGGAATGGATGCAGGAGAGAAAAGTAATCATAGCATTTAACAATATTCAGAAACACATATAAGCAAGGAAAAGGGAAGTAATCAAAGGAATAATCCTTATCAAGAGCACAAACAGAGGCTGAAGTGCTATTAGTATACGCAATGCACCAGTAATATTTAAGGTTATGAAAAGTATTTTTATACAATCAGAGACTTTTTTGTTTTGTTTTTTATTCAAGCATTATGCAAACCAAGAAATTCAGCATACTGATTTACATGATAAAGATGCATTACAAATGCAAGATGCCAATCTTCTTATGCATCTATTATTCCTTTCAAAGGGGCCTGCCTAACATGCAAGCTCAAAAATGTGCTAAGTGCAATTTCATAGATGTGAACAAGCTAGTAAGCATAATCATTAATAGGACTTTTCTACTTGACTTGAACACAGGCCCTTAGAGATTGACCAAGTACAGGAAAGGGACACAGAGAGACACAGGCTGTACAGGTAATTTAAACAGATAACAGAAATACAGAAGTAGTTGAAAGAAAATGCACAGGAAGACAAAAAGGTCACAGGATCATAACTAGAGAGATGAGCGAAGTATTCAAAAATTTGATTCGGCTGATTCGGCGAATTCGAGGAATAATTTGATTCGAGGCGAATATATTCGCTGCGAATTTAACTTATAAAAGGGTGTTTCTAGGCTTCAGAGAGCCTTTATTTAGTGCAGGAACACTGTACCTTTAATTTAAATGCCCTTGGTGTCTGCTGGGGAAGAGAAATAATACTGTTCAGTCAGTATGACATGCAGATGAGTGCCGTCGATCTTAGAATCACCGCACACTTCGCTCATTTGGCAGTCACGGGGCCAAAAAACCAGAGTGTGGAGTACCCCCCCCCCCCCCCCCCCCACAGTGTGGCGGTGGAGGCAGCAGCAATGGGAGGCCATACAGCACCCTATGACAAAAATGGAACCCACCAGCAGTGTGAGGAGACCTGAAAGTGGCACATGGCAGAGTGTGGCGATGGAGACAGCAGCAATGGGAGGCCGTACAGGGGACCCATGACACACTCTGGACCTGGCAGCAGCGATGAGGAGGGGTGGGTACAGGGGCCCATGACAGATTTTGGGACCCTGGCAGCAGCATGAGGAGTCGGTACGGGGGGGGCCCATGGCAGATTACGGGCCTGGCAGCAGCAATGGGAGGCCATACAAGCACCCTATGACAAAATGGAACCACACCAGCACTGTGAGGAGACCTGAAAGTGGCACATGGCAGAGTGTGGCGATGGAGACAGCAGCAATGGGAGGCCGTACACGGACCCATGACACACTCTGGACTCCTGGGCAGCAGCATGAGGAGGCGTGTACGGGGGGCCCATGGAAGATTACGGGCCTGGCAGCAGCAATGGGAGGCCCGTAATCTGCCAGCACCCTATGACAAAATGGAACCCACCAGCAGTGTGAGGAGACCTGAAAGTGGCACATGGCAGAGTGTGGCGATGGATGACAGCAGCAATGGGGAGGCCGTACAGGGACCCATGAGACACTCTGGGACTGGCAGCAGCATGAGGAGGGGTACGGGGGCCCATGGCAGATTACGGGCCTGGCAGCAGCAATGGGAGGCCCGTAATCTGCCAGCACCCTATGACAAAATGGAACCCCACCAGCAGTGTGAGGAGACTGAAAGTGGCACATGTTTGGGGCATGATTCATGGCGGATTTAGTCAGTTGTGTCAGGAACTGGTGGTTTGAAATCCAGGACTAATCCACGCCTGATTCATTTTCACAAAGTGAGTCTCTCCACACTTTGGCGTGGGACAGTCGTGTCCTCCGCGGAGTTACAATACCTCCTGCCGCACTTAAACACGCGCTCCGATGCCACGTATGGCCGGGCATGACAGCCTTTCAAGGGCAAAATTCAGCTAGTTGGGGCCAAAGGTCAAGTTTCGTTGCCCAGTAGTCAAGGGGGATTGTCTACCTCGGTTGGCAGGGTGCTGTCCAAGTAGGCCCAAGCCTGTTGTTTGAGGTCCTGCTCCAGGTCCCCTGATGCTGCTGCTGATGCTGCTGATGCGGCTGGTTAGTAGTTTCTCACTGCGCTGGTGAAGAAAGCTACTCATCATCGGGACTGCCCAGACTGAGGCAGCCGCTGCTGGTGGAGCTGCCACTGCTCCTACCACCCCACCCCTCCCCTGCTGCCATGGCAGCGGAACGCGAGCGCACAGGGCCCACAGTGTCTGAGGATGGACATTGGCGCAGAAAGGCAGAGACCAACTGACTACATAGGTGGTTTTTATAGTACTTTATTTGGCCTCCTCTTCAGCAGGTGTGAAAAAGGCCCACCATTTTTGAACGGTAGCGAGGGTTCCAACAAGGTGGACAGCCAAAAAGTCATCCTCTGTCTAATGGTTATTATTCGGCTGTCGATACACAAGCAACCGAGCATGCTATGGGCCATTTGTGCCAAGGAATGCGAGGGACTCCCTGCCTCCATCTCACACAGCATACTGCCACGGTGCGTCTGGGTCCTCTGTCTCCTCCTCCTCCTCCTCTACCAGATGCTCCTGCTCCGCCACTCCTGTCCGCTGAGTGGAAAAAACCACCCATTTCACTCTATAATTCCTGAGCACCAATGTCCTCCTCTACCTCCTCCTCTTCTTCCTGTCCTGCCCCCACAGGGGTCATGTGGCGTTGAGATCTGTGCGCCACGTCTACCGCACCTGACCAGCCATTGTTAACAGCATTTGTTCCAGGACATGCAACAGAGGAATGACGTCGTTCAGCCCATAGTCCTGCCGACTCACAAATAGCGTGGCCTCCTCAAAGGGCCTGAGCAAGCGGCAGGTGTCACGCATGAGCTGCCAATGGCTGACATCTAAGTTACACAGGGGAGTACCTTTATCCGCTTGTAACATCAGGAAATCGGTGATGGCCTTTCGCTGTTCGTAAAGGCGGTCTAACATATGTAGGGTTGAATTCCACCTTGTTGCAACGTCACAGCATGAGGAGTCGGTACGGGGGCCCATGGCAGATTACGGGCCTGGCAGCAGCAATGGGAGGCCCGTAATCTGCCAGCACCCTATGAAAAAATGGAACCCACCAGCAGTGTGAGGAGACCTGAAAGTGGCACATGGCAGAGTGTGGCGATGGAGACAGCAGCAATGGGAGGCCGTACAGGGACCCATGACACACTCTGGACCTGGCAGCAGCATGATGAGGAGGCGGTACAGGGGCCCATGACAGATTACGGGCCTGGCAGCAGCATGAGGAGTCGGTACGGGGGCCCATGGCAGATTACGGGCCTGGCAGCAGCAATGGGAGGCCCGTAATCTGCCAGCACCCTATGACAAAATGGAACACACCAGCAGTGTGAGGAGACCTGAAAGTGGCACATGGCAGAGTGTGGCGATGGAGACAGCAGCAATGGGAGGCCGTACAGGGACCCATGAGAGACTCTGGACCTGGCAGCAGCATGAGGAGGCGGTACGGGGGCCCATGGCAGATTACGGGCCTGGCAGCAGCAATGGGAGGCCCATAATCTGCCAGCACCCTATGACAAAATGGACAGCACCAGCAGTGTGAGGAGACCTGAAAGTGGCACATGGCAGAGTGTGGCGATGGAGACAGCAGCAAGGAGGCCGTACAGGGACCCATGACACACTCTGGACCTGGCAGCAGCATGAGGAGGCGGTACGGGGGCCCATGGCAGATTACGGGCCTGGCAGCAGCAATGGGAGGCCCGTAATCTGCCAGCACCCTATGACAAAAATGGACAGCACCAGCAGTGTGAGGAGACCTGAAAGTGGCACATGGCAGAGTGTGGCGATGGAGACAGCAGCAATGGGAGGCCGTACAGGGACCCATGAGACACTCTGGACCTGGCAGCAGCATGAGGAGGGCGGTACGGGGGCCCATGGCAGATTACGGGCCTGGCAGCAGCAATGGGAGGCCCGTAATCTGCCAGCACCCTATGACAAAATGGACTAAGCACCAGCAGTGTGAGGAGACCTGAAAGTGGCACATGGCAGAGGTGTGGCGATGGGAGACAGCAGCAATGGGAGGCCCGTACAGGGACCCATGAGACACTGTTGGACTGGCAGCAGCATGAGGAGGCGGTACAGGGGCCCATGGCAGATTACAGGCCTGGCAGCAGCAATGGGAGGCCCGTAATCTGCCAGCACCCTATGACAAAATGGACAGCACCAGCAGTGTGAGGAGACCTGAAAGTGGCACATGGCAGAGTGTGGCGATGGAGACAGCAGCAATGGGAGGCCGTACAGGGACCCATGAGAGACTCTGGACCTGGCAGCAGCATGAGGAGGCGGTACGGGGGCCCATGGCAGATTAACGGGCCTGGCAGCAGCAATGGGAGGCCCGTTAATCTGCCAGCACCCTATGACAAAATGGACAGCACCAGCAGTGTGAGGAGACCTGAAAGTGGCACATGGCACAGTGTGGCGATGGAGACAGCAGCAATGGGAGGCCGTACAGGACCCATGAGACACTGTGGACCTGGCAGCAGCATGAGGAGGGGCGGTACAGGGGCCCATGGCAGATTTACAGGCCTGGCAGCAGCAATGGGAGGCCCGTAATCTGCCAGCACCCTATGACAAAATGGACAGCACCAGCAGTGTGAGGAGACCTGAAAGTGGCACATGGCAGAGTGTGGCGATGGAGACAGCAGCAATGGGAGGCGTACAGGGACCCATGAGAGACTCTGGACCTGGCAGCAGCATGAGGAGGCGGTACAGGGGGCCCATGGCAGATTACGGGCCTGGCAGCAGCAATGGGAGGCCCGTAATCTGCCAGCACCCTATGACAAAATGGACAGCACCAGCAGTGTTAGGAGACCTGAAAGTGGCACATGGCAGAGTGTGGCGATGGAGACAGCAGCAATGGGGGCGGCCGTACAGGGACCCATGAGACTAACACTCTGGACCCCGCCAGCAGCATGAGGAGGCGGTACGGGGGCCCATGGCAGATTACGGGCCTGGCAGCAGTCCAATGGAGGCATGTAATCTGCCAGCACCCTATGACAAAATCTGGAAACACACCAGCAGTGTGAGGAGACCTGAAAGTGGCACATGGCAGAGTGTGGCAATGGAGACAGCAGCAATGGGGAGGCCGTACAGGGACCCATGAGAGACTTGGACCTGGCAGCAGCATGAGGAGGCGGTGGTACGGGGGGCCCATGGCAGATTACGGGCCTGGCAGCAGCAATGGGAGGCCCGTAATCTGCCAGCACCCTATGACAAAATGGAACACACCAGCAGTGTGAGGAGACCTGAAAGTGGCACATGGCAGAGTGTGGCAATGGAGACAGCAGCAATGGGAGGCCGTACAGGGACCCATGAGAGACTCTGGACTGGCAGCAGCATGAGGAGGCCGGTACGGGGGGGCCCATGGCAGATTACGGGCCTGGCAGTAGCAATGGGAGTCCCGTAATCTGCCAGCACCCCTATGACAAAATGGAACACACCAGCAGTGTGAGGAGACCTGAAAGTGGCACATGGGCAGAGTGTGTGGCAATGGAGACAGCTAGCAGCAATGGGAGGCCGTACAGGGACCCATGAGAGACTCTGGACCTGGCAGCAGCATGAGGAGGCGGGTACGGGGGCCCATGGCAGATTACGGGCCTGGCAGCAGCAATGGGTGGCCCAGTAATCTGCCAGCACCCTATGACAAAATGGAACACACCAGCAGTGTGAGGAGACCTGAAAGTGGCACATGGCAGAGTTGGCGATGGAGACAGCAGCAATGGGAGGCCGTACAGGGACCCATGAACACTCTGGACCTGGCAGCAGCATGAGGAGGCAGGCAGAACCGCCGTATCTTTATCACGGTTTTCCCAGGCCACCAAATGGCGACGCTGCATATGCTGATGCAACGCTGTAGTCCCAACATGGGCCCCCTGGCCACGCTTGACTTTCTGGCCACATAGTCGACATACGGCTACGTTTACTTCCTCGGGCGGCATGACAAAAAAATTGCCACACCGCCGAGTAGGAAAACTTTGCCCCCGCTTCTCCTCACTGGCTGACTGCTACTTCCTCCGTGCACACCGGCACCACTACTGGCCGTGGTGGTAGGCTGCAGTGGAGCTGGTGCTGTACTCCGTGGCCAATTTTTGCCTCCACTGACACTGCTGCGACCCTGCTGCCTCCTGGGCAACCCACCGACTGTTTTGCTCGCTGCCAAGCTGGCACCCTCTTCTCCTGATGATGCGGAAGCAATAGCCTGATGACGACGAGGCTGCTAAGTGCGATCAGCCTCATCATCATCAATTAGGGTCTCCGCCTCACTACTAGCCCCCTCGCTGCGTGTGGGTCAGGAGACAGACCTGTCTCTAGACCGGCTACCGAGCCACTCTCCTCGCCAGTACTTCTTCGCCTGGCTGCTGAAGAGGCGGATGTCTCCCCCCGTTCCTGACCGCCCTCTGTTAGCTCTTCCTCACTGTACAGTAGGGCTGAGCCCACAGCATGCGATACTTCGCTTGGTGAGGGAACACCAAAGGACAGGGGCAGGTAGAGGACACGTGATTTCAGTGGGCTTGCTCCCGGGCCATGCCAACTAACGGTTGTGTCTGACGTACCCACCGACCATTGGCTGTAGGTGTCAGAGGTGACCTGGGAAGAGGAAGACGACCGAGCCAACCAATCGATGACGGCAGGGTTGTCGGTGGAGACACGACCGCTGGATGACACCGGGAGCACTGGCCTCTGGCTGCGACTAGTGCTGTCTCGACCCCTTCCTCTGCTGCCACGTCTGCTCGCTCCTAAAACATTGCCTCCTCTGCCACTCCTCTGCGTGTTGTCTGACATACTCTTTAATTCAACGATTCTGTGACCCTGAGTAACAATTCTGTGTCCCTCAGTAACAATTCTGTGTCTGTCCCTGAGTAACAATTTCTGTGTCCCTGAGTAACAATTCTGTGTCCCTGAGTAACAATTCTGTGTCCCTCAGTAACAATTCTGTGTCCCTCAGTAACAATTCTGTGTCTGTCCCTCAGTAACAATTCTGTGTCCCTCAGTAACAATTCTGTGTCTGTCCCTGAGTAACAATTCTGTGTCCCTCAGTAACAATTCTGTGTCCCTGAGTAACAATTCTGTGTCCCTGAGTAACAATTCTGTGTCCCTCAGTAACAATTCTGTGTCCCTCAGTAACAATTCTGTCCCTGTCCCTGAGTAACAATTCTGTGTCCCTCTGTAACAATTCTGTGTCCCTCAGTAACAATTCTGTGTCCCTGAGTAACAATTCTGTGTCCCTGAGTAACGATTCTGTGTCCCTGAGTAATGATTCTGTGTCCCTCAGTAACAAATTCTGTGTCCCTCAGTAACAATTCTGTGTCCTTCAGTAACAATTCTGTGTCCCTCAGTAACAATTCTGTGTCTGTCCCTGAGTAACAATTCTGTGTCCCTCAGTAACAATTCTGTGTCCCTCAGTAACAATTCTGTGTCTGTCCCTGAGTAACAATTCTGTGTCCCTGAGTAACGATTCTGTGTCCCTGAGTAACGATTCTGTGTCCCTCAGTAACAATTCTGTGTCCTCAGTAACAATTCTGTGTCTGTCCCTGAGTAACAATTCTGTGTCCCTCAGTAACAATTCTGTGTCTGTCCCTGAGTAACAATTCTGTGTCTGTCCTTGAGTAACAATTCTGTGTCCCTCAGTAACAATTCTGTGTCCCTCAGTAACAATTCTGTGTCCCTCAGTAACAATTCTGTGTCTGTCCCTGAGTAACAATTCTGTGTCTGTCCCTGAGTAACAATTCTGTGTCTGTCCCTGAGTAACAATTCTGTGTCCCTCAGTAACAATTCTGTGTCCCTCAGTAACAATTCTGTGTCCCTCAGTAACAATTCTGTGTCTGTCCCTGAGTAACAATTCTGTGTCTGTCCCTGAGTAACAATTCTGTGTCTGTCCCTGAGTAACAATTCTGTGTCCCTCAGTAACAATTCTGTGTCCCTCAGTAACAATTCTGTGTCCCTCAGTAACAATTCTGTGTCTGTCCCTGAGTAACAATTCTGTGTCTGTCCCTGAGTAACAATTCTGTGTCCCTAAGTAACGGTTCTGTGTCCCTAAGTAACGGTTCTGTGTCCCTAAGTAACAATTGTGTGTCCCTAAGTAACGGTTTCTGTGTCCCTAAGTAACGGTTCTGTGTCCCTAAGTAACGGTTCTGTGTCCCTAAGTAACGATTCTGTGTCCCTAATACAGAGAGGTCTGTCTCTCTTGAATGACCAGAGGCAAATGGAGAATTGTAAGATGGCCGCAATTTATAGCTCCACCATTACACAGTGCTGGCTGGCTGGCTGCTGATTGGCTAATGCGATCACATGTCATGAATGAATGCATTATGGGTCAGCGCGCCTTGTCTGCGCGCCTTCCCAGAGATCCCCGCTCTGTCGCCGCAGATGTCGCCGCCATTTTTGGAAAAATTTCGATTCGCGCATCCGAAGTCTGCTAATTTTCGGATTCGGCGCGAATCGAAATTTTCCTAATATTCGAAACGAATTCCACTTCGCCGAGTTCGATTCGCTCATCTCTAATCATAACCTGTCTGATTATTTATTTGAATCTTAATAATTTGAATATGAACCAACAGCATCTACCTCTCTTGCCCTACTCCTTCTATGCATTGTGTATATTAATAACTGATGGGTGTACTTTTTAAAAAAATTTTTAATGCAAGAATACAATGGACAATAAGAGCGGCCACAACTTTTGGCCAATCAAACAAGATAATAGTAACATGTACATTTTGCTGGTGCAACAGGTGCACTTTCACAATTAATAGGAAACTGATATTCTCTTATAATTGTGTGGGGACCACTAGATAAATTGTTGCTATAAAAGTTAATGTTTAATGCAGCTGAAATGCAAAATACAGAAATGCGCTAAA